AGCGGTTGCTCTCGTTGGCAACTCGATGCACGCAGAGCTGCCTCAAGTTCTCATACACCACATCCTTCCCTTGGTACCCCTCGCCAAAATCCCTCTCGGGATCGGGCGCACAATACCTCCCGCGGTTTATGCACTGAGACTTGCATTGATTGGTAAGGATGAAAGCCTCCGGGCAGTACCAAGTAATGTAATGTGGCGTAAAGAGGGTGTAGCCTCCCCTCTCGAGAATCTGAGCGTGACCCTTGAAATTCTTGACGAAGTCCATTTGCTCGTCGCAGCGGGCCCCACACTCATCGTTGCTGTTTGTCCAAAACTCATACTCAACTCTCTTGTCGGGGTTGGGCATTGACTCTCTCCAGTCCAGTTTCACCACCACGTCTTGACGGTTTTTCAACCCCTCCTTAAGGCTGTCGCCGAAGGATTTCTCTATCAAGGCCGAGGGAATGTTGATCTTCTCGATGTACCCGTCTGCATCGTTGCTCTCCTCGGGTGAATCCATAGTTATTAATGGCTCTTTCATGTTATCAGCCACCAACACTGCTGCTGCTCCTGCCTGTTGAGCATTCCATACCTTCAAAGCAAAATAGCAATCTAAAAAAAAATAATTATTAGAATCTTTTCCACCTAATAAAGACCCACAACTCATTTAAAAAATAAATAAAATCATGGTTTAGTTGATTATCAGTAATTATACTCCTCAGCACTTATTTGGTCTGAGGAAGGATTTTAGTTGCTGGCCCAGATAAATTACAGAAGAAAAAGAACCAAACAGGTATTTTATTTGTAAAAATAATTGAACAGAGATTGCAAGGATAAAGCCAAAACTAATAAAGGAAAAAGGTAACTTTCCTGTTTTGACAATACTAATAAAAGGAAAATAAAATAAAATAAAAAACTAATAAGGGTTGCATGGAGGACTAGAACAGGGGAAAAACAGAGCAACTATTGTAACAACTCACAACCAATATGAAATGAACCAGCGGGCATTTAGAAGAGAGATTTGTGCTATAATTTGAATCATAATTCATAATTTAATACAATATTTTTTCTCACAATAAATATACGTAAAATAAAAATAATTTTAAATTATAATTCTAAATCTATGAACGAAACGTAAAGCCCACCATTGTCAAATCCAAGCTGGAATAATAAACATAATGGAAACAAAATCTTTTGGGACAAGCAAAACGAATCAAGACTAAAGGCTTTTGCTGAAAGCAATACAAAAAATATAAGAAAAAGAAACCACCAAACTATCAATTCAAAGAAAAAGAAAGAGAGATTACCGCAACAAAACTCATGCCCATCAACCCTTAAAAATTTCACCCCAAAAACAAAAAATCCTTCCCTTCTCAATTAACTTTGTGATTAAGCTATCAATCAATTTCTCTGTTTGCATTAAACAGCCATAATCCGATTCTCAAAAAAATTAATAAATATATATATATATTTTTTTACAGAGAGATTGACACAACAACATATGACAGAATTAACACACACCCATTTCTGAAAGTCAAAATAGTTGAAAAACAAAACAAAAAACATATAATGAATGAAGCTTTACAATTATTAATATTAAGAAGAGCAAAGGGGCATAATTAAACATACTTCCACGGTCAAGAAGAACGACAGTGGGACGAGGAAGGCGAGACTTGAAAGGCTTGTCTCCGTCAAAGGGCTCACATCCAAACGACCCTTTATCGGGATATACGACAGAGCCCACAATATAACCCCCATAGTCAGGAACTCCGAAGTTTCCGATCGCCCCGTCGTGCTTCGATCGCATGCTCAGCGGCGACAACACTTTGACGCTCTCCGTCTCCACCACGAAGTGCCCATCAACGACGACCACGTCGTTTAACACAGCCAGAAACAGAACCAAAACCACCACAAACATAGAACAAGAAGAAGAAGAAGAAGAAGAAGCCATAATGATAATATTAATATTTTATAATAATAATAATAATAATAATACTAGAAGAGGAAGAAGAAGAAGAAGACGAAGGTTTGCTGATCTTGATATGGGGTTGAGTTGTCTGTTGGGTTGGTTTGTTTATTATGTTTTTGTCCGAAGCATGGTTTTTGTTTGTTCGACGTGTCTGCGAATGGACTTTGCAACGGTCTACAGGTGGAGCTACAGAGAAGAGAAGAGAGAGAGAGAAAGTTATAATAGTTTGGTAGGAAAGAGAGAAGGAGAGTTGTGATTTGTGAGTGTGTTGGCTTAAAAGTTAGAAGAAAGGAGGTTTAGCTTTGTCTATGTCCAACCGTGACGTAAAGGAAACGACGAGAGAGAGAGAGGGAGGGGTGGTGAAGGTGGACTTGGACGGAGTCATTGGAACTAATCTCACCTGTTTCGTTTCTTCCACGAGAGAGACCGGGACAGGGAGAGACGGACAGAGATGTCTTTTTATTTATTTTATTTTTTGGCTTCAAATGTTATATTTATGCGTGTCTATGTTTTTCTAATTAAATTATAAAAATTATTTGGCAGGTTAAAAAAAAAAACTTTTCTTGAAACTTTTTTTGAAATCAAAATTGCATTCCATTTTAAGATCTGTTTAGTATGTGTGGTTTTGCCACGTCTTTTCCACCCAATCGGCTTTTGATATGTGGCGGTTCGACTGAACACTTCTCCACCAGACGAAAAGAAAAAACACCAACAAAACGTTTCATTGGCTATACCCCAAAAACCCGTTCTCTTTTAGAGGTATGTATGAGTAACATATTTTTTAGTTTATTTAAAAACTATACTTTTAATTTTTAATCTCATCAAATTCATACTTTTAAATTAAATTTAATACTCAAATTTATATATTTTCACAGTTAACTTTCAATTTTAAGTATAAAATACCTAAGGTACCCTTAAATAAAAATGAAAAAAGAAAAAACTTTAAAAAAACTTTAAACTTACAGTTTTAACCTTAAAAAAATCCAAAATACCATTGAAATGAGTTTTTTTGTGTTTCTAATTTTTATTGTTTGTAGTGTTGGAAAGTTTTAATTTTACTTTTTCTCTTTTTTTTTCAAGGAAAGTTTGATTATTTTAAAGGTCAAAATTAATTGTTGACCGAGATAAGAGATAAATTTATATATTGAATCAAATTTAAAAGTATACATTTGATAAGATAAAAAACTGAAGATATAAATTTTTAATAAACTTAAAAAATTAGATATAAAAATATAAATATCCATATAATATTTGACCACATTATTAGGTAAGATATACACATATATAATACAGAGAGTATATAGCCTTGATAAGGTAGTAACATGTTTCATGCCAATTGTCACAGTTGTATTATGCCTCGCTCATTTCACCGATTCGAGTTTTCAGTTTTAGGTTTTTACAGTAAAAAATTCTCATAAAATGTCACATTTAACTTTTTTTGCTAGAGTGAAAAGCTCTCAAAAAATATCACATCTCAACTCGAATTAAAAATTTAAATCTGCGGAGTGAATGAGATCTTAGAAAAAGCCTCTAAATTATTTACTACTTGCTTTACTCTCTTTTTAAGTCTTTTGTTCTCCCATCTCTCTCTCTCTCTCTGATAATTCAGCGTAGAAGGAAAAAAAAAAAAAAAAAAAAAAAAAAAAAAAAAAAAAAAAAAAAAAAGAGAAAAAAACACTAGGAACAAAGACGAAAGGGGAAGAAGACCTAATAAAAATCTACGCTTATTAACAAAGTCTTCCACGGGAAAGTCAGTCAATGAAATTAAATGGCTGAGTTTACAAGGCAACTTTGAGTGCTTGAAGGGGCAACAATTATTATATATATATATATACACATATACACATGACATACCTATCAATTATCAATTATCATCTATCACCCGCCACTCATGACATACCTATCAATTATCAATTATCATCTATCACCCGCCACTCATCCTCATATATATCTCTAATTGGACGATATAATTCTTCTTAGTCAGTCAACCTTGTAATTTACGTACCTTCGAAATTCTCTTAATTTCGTTTTATAGCACTGATTAATTGGGTTTTCTTTTTAGCCGTATTGTTCTCTTTTATACTCTCAAAATTTTATTATTGTTTGTCAAATTTACTTACCTTTCTATCAGCATAATATTAGTGTCATAAGGTTCAGAAATATCAAGCCTAGTATAATGCTTACTGATATTCCCTGGCCCGGAAACAAAATTACATAAACTATCAATCATTAACAAGCAATACGACGAGTTACTAATAATAATTACACGTTATTGCAATGTGCTGTGTTGACAAAAGTAGGTTCAAGGGGATTTTTTTTTTTTTTTTTGGCAAAGAATTTTTAATTTTGATGTTAGCATATAGTGGCGATCAATCTAATTAGACAAACGTTTGATCACTAGTGTCTATTTCTTTGAGTAAATATTAATAAACTAATTTAATATCATCCTTCTAAAAACCACTAGGGCAGAGGTCTTTTTCTTTTTTTCCTTTTAGGTGGGTTTAAGCTAGGGTTGACCTCATAAATGGAGATCAAGTAGAACTCAGATTCTGTTTAAGAATTAATGTAAGCAAAATATAAAATATCAAGTGGCTGTTGGTGTGAGTTCCATAAATAAATAAATATATATATATATATATATATCTAGTTTCCAAGCGAATTAGAATCTATTTTAAGTTTCACTCTTGGTTGAATCAGTTTTATAATTAGAAAATATAATTATTGTTTTATGTATATATATGTGTGTATATTTTTTTAAAGAATCTTTACTCAATGAAAGAGATGCCCTACAATACATCTCTTGCATTCCCAGGTTGCTTATCATCTTTTGAAAGGTTCAACCAGTTAGTCCATTGATGAGAACACCTACAAATTAATGTATTGAAAAGGAATATAGTGTTGGTAACCGAATCGAATTCGGATGCGGAAAGCGTGGCGGGGAGACGGATCATGTATAATAAAAATTTTATAAAACTTTTGAGATACTCTATAGATTATATTAATTTATGCACGAATAAATTAATCACATTAATTTATATGTCAAGAACTCAATTAGGAAAAATACCTGGAGGCCGACTCGGATGATAACTTGAGTTTTTTGAATACGAACAGTCCTTGCTCCAATCTTTGTGTTTAGAAAACCAAAGTCTTCCACGTCAATTCCTTGATTCCACGTAGACGTGTGTGTGGGCACACGTGAGATAAAACAGGTTTCAAAAACACTCGAATTTCCACAAACACCAACGCATGCACGATGTGGAATTTTTTGGGAGAAAAAATTTCCTTTCTTTTTCTTTTGAGAAATTCGGCCACCTCACAAGTTAGGGCAGAAAAAATGTTTTTAAAAAATTGTGTTCACAATTTTCTATCATTCTCATATTTAAAGAGTAGAAGTCAAACTTCAAAAAGGAATCAAATCTCTATCTCATATTTGAATTTGGAACAAAAAATCTCCTACACCTTATCTATTGTGGCCGGCCACCCCTAAGGGTTTTTACCCTGTGTGTGGCGCCAATTACAGATAGGGGAGGAAGAGAAATCATCATTTATCCTGTAGTCCAATTTTAATTCAAATTCAAATTCGAATTTAAGTCAAACTTAAATTAATTCGAATTCTAAATTGAACAACTTATTAAATAAGTTTAAAAGGATAAATTTAAATTATGTTCACAATTCAAATTCAAATTTAAATAATCACATTATTTAAATAATAATTAATTCTCAATTAATTATTTTCGAGTGTTTAATTTTAGAATTCCGTAATTCTAAAATT